CACACACACACAAAAAAACACACTCACTCACTTACTCACACACACACACACACACACACACACACACACACACACACACACACACACATACTTACTTTTGGGTATGTATAGTGAACGTGACAAAAAACAAACACAACATAATCACTACCTTACGCTTCCCCAATCACATCAACAGACAAACTACGAGCGGCACACCCGTGCCCCTAACCGTTTCTCCAATGCCCTGTGTGGGCCCTTGACGAGTTGGTGTTATGAAAATACAGGTGTCCAATACTACACCTCGTGCCCAACTGCAGCCAACCGCCAGTAGTTGGCGGCACGTAGGTGATGCGTCTATATACCCGAGGGCAAGGAGGGGGGTATGCAGCCCGTAGGCTGTACCACATCCTCGCGCGCAAATGGATAATCATGAGGCCAGAGGGTGGTAACCCAAACACAATTTCGGCGGAAATGATTGTAAGCACAGTTATAGCAACATGAAATGTTATTACCAGGCCACAACAGGTGCTTTATGCAGTTGAACCACTAATACGTTTCCCAACTACTTTACAGAGTTGCGGCCTGTGTACAGTCGCGACTCTCAGGAAATACTGGGGCGTTATTTCACTGGATATGCATCCATGCAAAACAGGTCGCATGTAAGACCCGTCTTACCTCGCTGGATATCCATCCCAACGACGCCCTGGTACTTCCCTAAAGATGTGATTGTATATGAGCAACAAGTACCAGGGCGCCGTTTCGCTATATATCCATCGATACAAAACGGATCCTATGTGATGACTGTTTTGTATACATGGATATCCATTGAAACAGCGCTCCGGTACTTTCCGAAAGATTCGACTGTATACGAGTCGCATCTTTGTTTTCAAGCGGGGAAAGGCATTGGTGGTTTTAGTATTATGTGTATTCCCCACTCTATGTCTATATGTTGCCTATTGTTATCTCATTCATATTGACTTACCGCACGGGCGCATGTATGCAACCCATAGGTTATACTGCAGTTTGGCATGCAGACAGGTGCTAATGAGGCAGGCACAAAATACCCTAGATGTAATTTAGTGCAAATCGTTGTAAGCCCAACTTTAAGGTTGTGATATAGCAAGGCTCAATGGCTATGTCCCAAAGGTTCATTTTTTCTTTTTTTAAACGACCATGAGCGAACAATTTTTTTTTTTTTTTTTTGATTGGGCCTAGTGCCAACCCACGGCATCGGATAATTTATTTTCGTTAGTCCTTCGGATGCTCTATCCCAAGCCTATGAAAGTTGACGAGAGACTCGATCCTGATTTCAAAAAAATTTAGTTTTAATTTTCGATGACGAAAAAAATTACGAACAAATCAAGTATGCAGACATAGTTTTGCTACACCAGAGTAAAAAACAATTATAAAATAAACATAACATTTTATCCTATGAATATATATTTGCACCCAAAACACAATATTCGTGACAAGTGGAACATTCATGAAAACTAGACTTTATTCAGTTTTCTTTATAAAATTACAAAAAAATGAGTTTTCCTACAAAACAAAGAGAAAATGCAAAAAAAATAAAATATCAAAAATATATAAATTTTGAGAAGTAATCACATGTCCTCAACTTATCATAGTCTGAAAAACAAAAAAAGAAGTTTTTTTAAATACTTTTCCCAGACAATGAGGCTAGGAAAATATCTTCACAAAAAAATGATTTCCTTTTAATATCTTGAGGCACAGAGTGCGAACATAACATAAGAAAAATGCCCATACCTCTTTTTTGCACTGCTCCAATCTATTGGTGGGGAGCATCACATGCTGGAAAACGGGTCATGCGTCCTATCTGGCAAATACAACATAAAGAAAATAAAAACTTGCAGGGGATCATAGGGGCACCCGTTTCTTTTGCTTCCCCTTTCTAGTGTCCCTCGTGCTGGCTAATGACAAGTACCTTATCTGCTCGAACGCTCGTACTAAAGCTTTATTTTTACGAAATCTTGAGGCACTGGATATTTCTCACGTAAGAAAGATTATATAAAATCTAACATAAACATAACAATCTATTATTTTTTTACTTTCCTATTTACAAAAGAAAAATAAATATACACTGTCTTGCTAAAAAAAATATTTTATACTCCATCTCGTTCTTAATATACCTTTCACTCGACAATACTTATTTCACTTTGGCTATGAAATATGGTTGATCATTTTCATGTTGACCTTTCTACGCAAGAATAGCAATGAAAGTATTTTTTTCACAGATCCTTAAAATTACCCTTCATGCTTTCTTCATCTATATGACGTTTTCGTGATCCGACGTACAATCATTTTGTGATCCGACGTACAATCGTCTCAAGCAACAATACTTTTCATCTCACTAAAGCCTCCATTTCTTGAGTTACCTTAATTGTAGATGAAAATTGACTCAAAGGACATTCAAATTTCGTTCAGAGAACCGTGCTCTCAATATCCATCTCCTTTTGCTCTTATTGATAAACCATCAACCAACCAATCAATCAATCAATCAATGATTGATTGATTGAATGATGAATTGATGAATTCCTTGCTCCACGGGCTACTGATCGCTTAAGTAATGCAGCGTGGCAGGTTGAATCACTGAGCAGAAAAATAATACCAGCAACCACACCGCTCTGATTTTCTTGGTCCTCCATGTTGGAGTCAATTGGACTTTCGAAGCGATAAAATATGGCAAACTGCAGTTCCATGCGTCCACGTTGTCTAGCGCATCGGTCCAGCACTGCGCAAGGCGGGGCGGGACCCTCTCGGCCGCGTCACGCATGAGTTGGTCTTATCCTTTTCGCTAATACTCATGGAGCTTGCGCAAGCCGCTCCGACCGATTGCGCCAGTCACACCTCTCGTGAGCCCCTACGACAGGATAGGGCCTACGAGAGGCACGACTTACCTCCACCTTGCGGGAGTTGTTACGGTCACCTTCCTTCGGTGGGCGTATCCCCACTGAGCTACCAGTCCACAGTACGAAAATTAATCAGTTTTAATCGCAGAGGACCAGCCGAGGGCGTTTCTCGTACGTTGTAGCATAAGGGGTACGCGCGGTTTTACGCCTCTATCGGACCCGCACGTGAACCGACGCCTGGAGGGGCTGAGGTCCCAAGCGCGACTCGTCGCTGGTCGACAAGGACGC